CTTGAAGAGATTTCCAGAAGGTTCTGTCCTGATTCTGCACCGTGGGTCTCCCTGCAAGCCAGGGTCTGGGGTGCCTGGAGCCCCAAGGAGCTGGACAGGACTGAGGGAAAGGGTTCCCTTCTGGAGTGTTTTCCCCAGGTGGAGGATGAGGAGCTCTGCAGTGCAGGAGGACCTTGTCTGCCCATTTGCCAAATAAGCCAGCTGCTAAAAATGGGGACCTCATACCATCCTGCCTTTCAGAGACACATCACATCGCTGGACAGTTTGGTTGAGCAACCCATGGTGACACAGAAAAATAATGAAAACTCACAGGCCAGCAGAAATGAAGAGGGGCTGACAAATGCCAGAATCTTGGAGGTATTGACCACTGATAGCAATGAGGTGACCAGAGCTGGACTGGGGAGCCTGCCCAGAGGAGACCCAACCCCACCCTGCCTGAAGAAGGGCAGGAAGTAATTTATACCTTCTCCAACATTAGTTCCTCACTCATGCCTTTGAAACAAAGTACACCTGGTTGGCCTTTCTTTTCTACCCTCATTTGCTGGCCTTGGATGTGGGCCCTTGCAAAGCCATCTCCTTTTCTTTATTTTCCTCTATATCCAAGTAGAGAAAGAAAACATCAGAATATAATCAGATGGGAAATAGGGGAAATTGGCATGATTTCAGTGCACTGTAGTATGGCTACTTGCCAAAAGCCGAGTGTGCCACTGGAGTGCATGTGCTGGGGAATTGGGTGCTTTCTGTCTTGAGTTGGGTGAGAGTCTCTCAGGAGGAGGTGAAGCTCATTAGGGTGAAGGTTCCAAGTTGGCTGGAAGCTGTGCCCTCTGCCCTGTGCCCCCCAACCCCCCATGGCAGGTATGAGAAGTTAGATGCATCCTTTACCGGGTGGACAGAAAATGGAACCACTGTCAGTCCACTCATAATGTCTGTTGAAAGTTATTGGTCTTGACAAACTTCTTATTCAAGGATGAATAAGGACCATAAAACAAAAGGACTTTATGGAAAAGTCCTGTAGAACAAGGTAAAGGCAATAGCTTCTGAAGACTCAGAAGCAGTGTCTACTTTTAGAAATTATTTGCAGCCAGCTCCAGAAGAGTATTTTTGGAATATGTGTGGCATCCCCAGCATAGTACAGGAAGGCATGGCCTCCCCAGAACAGGAACAGAAAAACGTAAGGAAAGAATGGGTTGATACGAAAAGGCAACAGAAAGAAAATGTTAAAAGGAGATAGATTAAATAAGGAAAGGTCTTAAGGAGACAAAATCCAATAGCAGAACTAAAACCCAAATTAGGAATGTAAAAGAGTATTAATGTGGAATAGGCTGAATAATGGCCCCCCATTATTAGAAGATAGCCACATCCTAATCCCAGGAACCTGTGGATGGCCCCTTATATGGCAAAAAATAACTTTGAAGATATGGTTAAGGATTTTGAGAGATGGAGAGATTATCCTGGATTGTCCAGCTGGACCTAAATATAATCAGTGTCCTTATAAGAGACAGGCAGTGGGAGATTGGACAATGGAAGAGAAGGCAGTGATCTGGCCACAAGCTGTGCGCAGCTGCCTGAAGCTGGAAGAGCCACAGAAGGAATTCTCCTCTAGAGCCTCCAGAGTGGCTGTGGCTGTTCTGACACCTTGAGTTCTGCTCAGCAATACTGATTTCAGAGTTCTGGCTCCAAAACTCTGAGAGAATAAATTTCTATTAAGTCATCAAGTCTGTGCTGATTTGTTAGAGCAACCATAGAAAAAGACTACAAATGCTATGGAAATCAGTGATATGAATGAAGGAAAAAATACCTTGAGAAACAGTTCTGAAAAATACAAGAAATGAAGAGAAAAGCAAGAGACAAGATCCCAGATTTGGAAGACAGAACTGACAGCCCACATTCAGAATATTGGTGTTGGTGATTATTGGGAACAGTGACCAGGCATTAGATACATTGCTGAGCTGATGAGGGAGTGTGTATGAATGTGAAGGGCTGTCACCCCATTCTGAACACATTTGGGGGGAAAAGACCCACCTCTGGGCATACCCTGGGAGCAACAGAGAGTAGTAAAGACAAGGGTGGCTGGGTGGGGTAGGGGGAGTCATGTCACAAACATCCATAGAAAAGAATAACAAAAATCAAGTTGACTTTAGATTTGTTTTCTATAGCAAAGCGTCTATGTCTACAGAAGCTGTGAGAAGATTAGAACACCTGGGAGTTTAGGGGTTTTTTTTTGTGTGTGTGTGTTTTTGTATTTTGTTTTTAATTCAGATGTATTCCTGGGCCCATCATCATTCCTACCTAACTGTGGGGTCTGGGAATCTGAAATATTAAAAGTTCTTCTGATTATGAACCATCATTAAGGTTTGGACATTATGTTGTAACACAACAATTTTATACTCAGAGTTGTCTTTTGTGTATGAGGCCAACCAGAAAGACATTCTCAGATATGCAAGGGCTTGGGAAAGTATGTAAACCTGCTCCTTTCTTTAAAATGTTGTAGAAGGTCAAAAGGTAACAGAAAATAAAGCTCAAGAAGAGGGAGCAGAGGCAGAGAAAGACAAGTCCCAAATGATGTCACTCATCTGTGGAGCATAACAACAAAGCAAAAACTGAAGGAACAAAACAGCAGCAGAATCACAGAACCCAAGAATGGACTAACAGTTACCAAAGGAAAAGGGACTGGGGAGGATGGGTGGGAAGGGAGGGATAAGGAGATTAAGGGACATTATGATTAGCACATATAATGTAGGGGGTGGCACGGGGAAGGCAGTATAGCACAGAGAAGACAAGTATAACATCTTACTATGCTGATGGACAGTGACTGTAATGGGGTATGTGGTGGGGACTTGATAATGGGGGACATCTAGTAACCACAGTATTACTCATGTGATTGTATATCAATGATACCTTAATAAAAAAAAGAAAGAAAAAAAATGAAAGGAAATAGAAATGACTGTTACATGCCCAAAAAAAAAAAAAGAAGAGGGAGCAGAGACACTGGGGTCAGTATGGTTAGAGAGCTATTGAAATGATTATTTTAAGTCTGGTGACCAAACAAATATCTGTGTCAGAAACCACTGGCTACTCCTTGCTCTTCGCAGATATTCCAAATTCCTTACGTGGCTTATCAAACCCTCTAAGCAGGTCTTGCCTTGCCTGCTTCTGCAGAATAATCTTTCAGCGCCTACCCCTCTTGCAGGCACCTCTGTGTTCCTTGGGGGCGAGGGAGACCGTGCTCCCTCTCCTGCCTCCTTCCTCCTTCCTCTGCTCACACCGTTCCTTCCACCTTGCATCTCTGCCTTTCAGGCCCTTAGGTGGCAACTTAGAGGTCACTTCCCATGCTTTCCCCTAGCTTTGTATAATGCCCTTCTGAAAAGCCTCATAGCGCGCCCTGTGTTCACCTCTGGACAGGGCTCATCATGTGGATGACGGACTTACCTGGCTCCTCCACTAGACTCAGAAGTTTGAAGGGAGAGTCTGCATTTGCTCATTGTTGTATCCCCCGTGCCTGATAGTGCCTGGTACATAATATATAACCCTTAAATATTTTATCCAGGCAGAGAATGGATGGCTCTCCCATAGTCCATCCTTTATGCATTTATTGAGTAGTACAGTATCTCATGATCTATAATGTGTCACTTAATAACTGCAGTGGAAACTCTGCCAGATCCTCAGAGAAAGGGAGCTAGAGTGAATTCTTGACTCTGGTGCCCTTCAGACCACTGTCTGTGCAGACGGGTGAGTTTCTGTGTAGCCGGCAGTTCACCCTTCAGTGCTGTTAGGCACCCGTGGAGTCCCTCTTATCTGCCTTTTTGGAGATCACTGAGGCTCATTCAGTCTGCAGCCACAAGTCACCCCCTGACCGCAGTGCTGCCCTCCATCTTCCATTTCTTCAGTTTTGCTGCTGTTCTTCCCCACTGTGTTGGCCTGGTACTTCTCATTCTGTCACAGGCATCACACTACCTGGCACTGTTCAGCTGACTAAGACCCTCTGTTCAGCTGAATCTGCCCTCAGGTACCTTACCTCATAGCTACCTCGTAGCTTATTTAAGCAAACGTTAATTGCATGCATTCTAGTTCTTTCTAAGGGTTTCCCATCTTGACTTCACAGCTTGTCCTTGCAGTTGTCATTTTTCTAAATAAATCACTACTCTCAGCTTCCCTTGTGTGGCTTGCCTCTCTCCTCAAAGCTGAGCATATAAAAGTTCCTTGCAGCTGCCATCGGATAGGAGCTGTGCTGGTCCAGAGGATGTTGACCAGCGCCAGGCCGCCCAGCCAACGTGCCCTGTTAGCCCAGCTCTGCCAGTCCACGGCACCTGGGAGAAGGCCCCCCGGACCTGTGCCCAAGCAGCACCCTAGTCCCCATGTGCCCTCTGAGGGCAGACACAATATTGTGTTCATCTTTGTCCCCTGCTGCTTGGCACGGTTTCAGAAATACAGCAGGTATTCAATCGATGTTTGTGGAATTAGCAAAAGGATGGAAGGAGAGAGGGGAGAAGGGGGAGCAAATGAGAGTGGAGATTCTCTTCCAGGGACAGGAATTAGAGGTGCCAAATGGAAGATTTGCTAAATGGGTTTATTGCTCCCTCATTTCCTCCCAGGGAGTATCCTGTGTGGTAGAAGAATCTGATCCCATAAATACTGAAATAAATACTCCAAGCTTGAAAAACTTTCCAATAAGGTAAGATATAACATTAGGACAGTTATATAAAGGAAATAATCTCCTTTGAGTCTTAAAGACTATAACTCTAAGGAGAAAAAAGCCCAGACTCCTGAAGAAATCCAATTTGTGAGCAAGTATAGGAGTAGCTTCTTATTTAACATGCATTATTTCCATTTTGAAATGCAAACCATATAGATTTGAGTGCCTTGTCATCTTCTCTCGATCTTTCCCATCTTTTCTCCCCACTGCTCCTAAAATGTTGCTGGATTTTACTAGTGTGAGAATATCTACTTTTCCCACCCACCCACCACATTAATACAATTTGGTACTGGTTTTAGAGCAGGCGTTAAATAGGTTTAATCTCACATACCAACTTAGTAGATTGGCCATGGCTCACTGGAGTGTTGAGAAAGAGTCTGAAGCTGTATCTAAGTGAAATGGGGAGGAGTTCCATGCAAAGAGGTGGGGAAGGTCAGACAATAGCAATATGCACGCCAAGTATTTGCCATCCCTGTTCAAGAGGAAGGAAGAGGAAGGCAAAGCATGAGAGCAGGGAGTAGCATCCTTCAGGTGTTGACCTAAATAAGGGCCAGCTGGTATTGTTTTACTTCCATTTTCCTTCTTGGCCTGGTTTTCAGATCATCTTCTTCAGTGGTTTGAATGTAGAATCTTTGCAAACAGGGAGAAAAAGAGAGTTGAGTATCTTAACAGTGTTTAATAAGCATTTTCACTAACCTGTTGATACCCGATAGCTGATCTTAAATTGGACTTCATGACAGTAGAGGGCAGGAATGAGAGACTATTTAAGAAGTTCCTCCAGTATAAATATTTTCCAGTGGTTATTTCAGAAGCAATTTAAGCTTCTGAAACTTGAGATACAACTAGAAACTCCTAACTTAGCATATAAATTGCTGTCCAAATTGGTAACCTGGAATTTAGATTTGTGTGCTGAGAATCAGAATGTGCTGAGGAGTAGCCGGTTACTTTGAACCATCACAAGGCACTTGACAGGTGTTTACACAGATGCATGCAGCAGAAAACACACTCAGCACCTCGTTTGTGGTATTCTTTCTCAGACGGAGACACAGAGGCTTGGCCAGTGATTTTACCCAGCCTGGTTAGGAGGGGCCAGCTGTAATAGCAACTGGGCCTCGTCAGTCCATCAGAAAATACTCTTTGAGTGTTTTCCAAAGACTAGTTATAGACACTGCAAATGTGGTAAGAAGACCCCCAAGTCCCCAGCCTCAGGGAGCTTCTGTGCTGTTTGGGAAGAGACAAAAACACCCAACAAATACTTTAAGATACCAGCAAATATGCTAAGAAAATAAAATGGGCTGACTGGGGACACTGCTTGACCTCGGTGTCCAGGGAAGGTTGCCTGGAGGAGGCACATTCATGTTTGGCCTGGAGTGATGTAATGTGCCAGAGTTGGAAGACTTCGGGAAGACCCATCCAAGCCAGAGAAACAACAAAAGCAAACATGTCCAGGAAATGAAGGAAAGCCAATGGGATTGAAGCAGAGGGAGTGCCCAGCATCCTGTCCACTAGCCCTGTGGTGATGGTGATGGTATCTTGTAAGCCTTTAAGACTCTTTTGCTCATCTTGCGGGTGAGCCATTGCATTTGGTTGGATAGTGCTTTCTTAGTTGCACAGAGAGATTACAAAGAAGTCTGTAAATTAAGGTGAATCTTACCATGAGCATAACTCCTTTTGAGGGAGGCATGTGGTACATGTGGGGCCCATTTCTGCTCTGGAGAATCTGCAGTTGATCAGGGTAGAAAGGACAGTGAGATGTGACCATAAGCAGATCAGCTCAGTGGGGAGGGAGCATCGTGACAGCATCAACAGCTTACCTGCTCCCTAATCAATCTCCTTGAACTCTCACGCTTCCTCCATGTGCTGGTGAGCCCAGCCCCGGCTGCCTGGTCACTGGGGGCGATGAATACCTCAGAAGCAGCGTGTCATGCAAGGGAAGATCCCACCCCTGTAAAACCTGCTCCCACATCTGAATTCTCTCCTCATGGGTGCTGGCTGAAGCAGGGCTCAGGCATACACTGGGAGGTGGTGAGCTGTGTGTGCCCCATGCCCTTCCTCTCTGCTGCTGCACCTCTGCAGGTCACCTTTTCCTCAGTGCCACCCTCCCCCACCCAACCTCTGCTTCTTAGCCTGTCCCTGTGGTACACTGCACAGCGTGTTCTGGTCTGACTGTGGCCTCCAAGAGGCTGTGAGCAGTTCATGGGCAGAGAGCAAAGCTCCATCAGCGGGTGACAAGCATCTGAGCAGCTGAGTACACCCCTTTGTAAGCTATTCGTTTGTCATCATCAAAGGGACATCAGGTGAAGATTAATACTGAATGTGGGCAACGTTTTTCTTCTTTATATTCCTCTGAATTTATTCAAATTCCTTACACAAAGCAGCTATCAATCACTTTTAGAATTTTTTTCTGGTGAAATGTACATAGCATACAATTTACTGTTTTAACCATTTGTCAGTACACTATTCAGGCATTAAGTGCATTCACACTGTTGAGCACGCATCACCACCATCCATCTCCAGAACTTTTTCCTCATCCCAAATTGAAGCTCTGCTCATTAAGCAACAGGCTCTCCTTTTGGTGCTGCCCCATTGCCTGGCAACCACAATTCTACTTTCTGTCTCTGTGAAACTGACTACACGAGGGACCTCATGTAAGCAGAATCCTATGTGCCCCTTCGTGTCTGGCTCATTTCATTTGGGGTAGTGTCTTCGAAATTCTTCTATGTTGTAGCATGTGCCAGAATTTCCTTCTTTTTAAGGCTGAATAATATTGCATTGTATATATGTACCATATTTTGTTCACTAATTCATCCATTTATGGACATTTTAGTTGTTTCCACCTTTTAGCTATTGCGAATAATGCTACTGTGAACATTTGCGATAATGCAAACATCTGTTGGAGTTCTTGTTTTCAACTCTTTTGGGTATATACCCAAAAGTAGAATTGCTGGATCACATGGTAAAATCACTTTTATATTTTAGAAGCATTTTTAATAGTTTTGAAATGGTCATTTCAATTCAAACCAAAGGTCACCTTAAATGGGAGGTTAACACCAAAAGGCAGGCTGAAGTATCTGACTTTTGTTTTTGTGACTTGTCTGATGTTTGATGACGTGAAATGGTTTGTTTTCAAGTGAGGTTTTAATTTTTTTCTTACAGCATCAAGCTTCTAGCTGTACAAGAACTGCTTGACAGAGAAGCCTTGGAAAAGGTAAATATTTTGTTCTTTTCACCTCACATTCGCAAACTTAGAGCAGAGTGCCACACACGGGAACAGTCCAACTCTGTCACCACCTTCTGCAAAATTGGTCTGTTATTTTGTATTCTTAACAGTCAGTGACCCATGCAATATTTTAATCAAAACTGCCTATGTTGCTCATATCCTGTTAACACAAACTCAGTCTTGCTTGGCTCCTTCAGGGTTGTGTGAAAGAAGAGGCTCGCTGTGCCCAGGAGCAGCTTGCCTGTTGCTCTTACCACCATGCACGGGAGCCGGTTCCTCGTTGGCTCCTTCCCTCCATCTCTGCATGTGTGTGTTACTGTCTGGGCTCACTGATGGCCAACTTGAGGCCCAGTGAAGCCAGATGTTCTTAAGGGAAGTGAACTAAGCTGTAGAGTAAAGATTTGGATCCTGTGGTTCCATTTCCAAAACCAGTGCTTTTTCTACTGAACAGGCAAGTTCATGAGTTTGAACCCCTTCTTAGGCTGGTTCTGAGGATTAGGAAACTCCCTCCCCACCTGGCACGAATGTTCACTGTGCACTGGGGGGAGACAGCCAGTGTGTCTTCCCTGTCTGTGTTCAAGGCAGGCATGCAGCAGGGGACTCTTTGCAGTTGTGAGGTCAAATTCTGTAAGCAGGGTGGGGTGCACTCTGAAGGGCAGGCCGGGCAGGTGCCAAGGCCCAAGTGCCGCCCCCAGGGCCTCCCATCTCCTGCCAAGCTGCCACCCTGGGGTGGTTCAGGATTCTACCCAAGTATGTATCTATAGGTGTTAATTAGAATCTATAACGTTAATGTAAAAGAAAGTGGTTAGAGAGAGAAACAACCAAACAATTATTTGTGGAATTTTAAATGTTTAGATTAGTGGTCAGTCTGCTAGTTGGCACTAAAACAAATAAAGCCTTTAAGCACCAAGCAGTGCTGTGAGGGGAGGGGGTGTGCTGAGCTCTGGCTCTGAATGTAACATCCCTTCAGCCTCATTTCCATTTCCATCATGGGGAAATGAGGCGAGTGCTGCCCGCCTGCCCTCAGAGAGGCAAAGTGAGAACCGAATGAGTTAGTGTAGCGGAAGGGCTTTCTAAACGCCAAAGCACTCAACTCGTATTAATTCTTAATTATTTATATTAATTCTTAATATGAATCTAGCCATTAAGACATACTAGGCCCAATTATAAAGGACATCCTTTAGTCAAATGACAATACTGGATGTAGATTGTAGATTAGGTAAAAGTATTATATCAATGTTAACTTTTCCTAAAGTTGGTAACTGGCGTGTACTCATGTGAGAGAACGGCCTTGTTCTTTAGTAATTATAGACTGCTGTATTTAAGATTTAAGGTGAATAATGTTTATTACTTATTCTCAAACGGTTCAGGAAAAAAATGGCATCTATATATACGAGAGCCAGAGAGAGAAAGAGCGTATGGGGCAAATGCAATTAACCCTCTGGGTAAAGGAATATATGAAGATTTTTTGTATGTTCTTGAAACTTTCAAAAAGTTACCCCTCCAAAAGCAATTCTTTTCTAAGTATTCACTACAGTTATTTGTTTTACTCCTCATTAAAAAAAAAAATCAGACAAAGCTGGTAAACACGTGCTAACATATATCAAAATAATAAAAACACAAGCACAAAAACATTGATTAGGTCTTTAGAGCTGTGTTAATATCTGATTTGGAGACGCTGCACAGCCAAGCAATTTGGGGGTTCTAACTACTTGCATAATCTCCCAGAGAAGGGGGTCAGGGCTTGCTGGCTGTGGAGCCACTGTGCTGCCCTGAGGACTTATGTCAAGGCTGCCATGGAACCGAGTGTGCAGCCCGGGCCCTGGGCCTCCCACCTCCTTCTTGACTGGGTTATCTGGGGTTACTAACCAGCTCTGGGCTTCAGTTTCTCAGTCTATAAAATGGGAATCTTTATAACCCCCCCCATTCACAGAAGTTGTGAGAAGATTAAAGGAGTTAACGCCATGCCTGGCCCTCAGTGATCCCCAAAAGTTAACTTTCACTCATATTATTTCCCCTTCCTCCTCCTTCTCATTCTTTCTCACCAAGTCTATTGATAGTTTTGTATTGTTCCTCCATCTCCATACCTGATGAGTAGAAAGATTTCCAAGATAGTCTAAATATGTACAGAGAGCAGCTGGAAGCCAAGTTCACTCAGTTTCCTTCTTGCTTCTTTTGTTTGTTTGCTTTCATTCATTCACTCATTCACTCATTCACTCATTCATACTAGAGGCCTTTGTTGAGCTTTCTTTGTGTCAGGCAAGTAGCAAATATTTCTAGAAAATTACAAAAGCAACCAGTCAACACAAGGTTGATAACCAATTACATTTTGAATGACCCTTGGCATATTACCTGGCATAGTATTGTTTTTGCAGCAATAATGCTGTAATAAGATATGTTCCCTAAAGAGCCTCATGACTTGCGGATTCTCATCCACCTGGACAAGTTGGAAAACCACTAAGAAAAGTTCTTAGTAAAGTACAGAACTTTGCTACTCAAAGTGTGTTCTATAGACCAGTTTGTTGGAAGTGCAGAATGTCAGGCCCTACCTAGACTCCCTGAATCAGTTGCCATTCTAACTAGACTCCACCTGACTTGTGCACCCTAAGGTCCAAGAAGCTCTCCTGAGGAGTATCGTTATTTTCACTATCACTACTGTTGACTAGTCCATCTTCATAGAGGACCTGTGAGGTGTCAGCTTTTTGCTTTTGTGGCCAATTAAGTTCTGCTTTTACACCGAAAGAGAAGTAAACATCAGGATTCTATTGTAAGAACCAGTTTTTATTATTAGTTTGCCTGCTTCTTCCTTTCATTAAGAAAACAGTCTTATTTAACAGATAGAGCCATCAAGGCTTCAGTTAGATGCACACCCGCAAACCTCAAACCTCTCTGACTGCCTTTGCAGCTGGGCTTCGAGTGGCACCCTGCTTTTGGGTTTTGCAATTACTGAACTCCTGAGATCCCATCGTGGTGGAACTGGTGGGCAGGCAGACCGTCCCGGTGGAGGGACCTACTTGACTGTGTTGCCCACGTGCCTTTGTAAGTGGGAAGCTATTCCTGAAGCGGTCGTTTGCTTCACAGATTCTTGCAGGTTCATTCTGACCAGTAGAATATTCAAATTATGTAAAACGTTTATAAAAGACTGAAAAGCAATAATGTTTTGGGGTTTCCTAGGCAATAAGATTTCTAGTGCCTTTTCTCCCTAATTTTAGGCATTGTTATTACAGTCTTGGTATTTTAGCTTAAAATCACCAGCCATTTGCCACTTATACTTTCCCTGGGAGGGGCTGTTGTAGAAGAACTGAGTCCCTTTCAGCCTCGTCTTTGTGCTGTTGGACCTGGCAGAGGACCTTCCTCAGAGGCCTGGGCTCTTTTCCTCATCCTTAAAACTGCTTTTTCAGGTTCCTTCCCACTCTAACACTCGGGTTTCATTTTCACAGTTGATCCTGATCACATTGTGAAGAGAAGAAAATTCTCCTTTTCATACTCTTGTTTTTTAATGTTCTCTCTGCTTCCTTGCTCCAGTGGTCCTTACTGGGCCTGGGGACCTCCGTGTTTCCTCTGCCCTACTCACCATGAAAACACGCTTTCTGGGGAGACGTGAGTGGTGACTACATGCCCAGTGGCCCATACATAGGTCAGCAGGGTTCCAGTTTTTACCTCATCTAACGATATTTGTCTTAAGTCAGGGACAGTAGACGGGCAGTTGGGGATACCTGGGGGGTCAGGTCTCTGAATTTCTCTTCCCCATTAACACTACAGAAAGCCATTTCCCAGACAAGTGGCAGTGATTTATCATTTATTTTAAAAATAAACTACATACTGTTAAAAATTGAAGTTCCTCTACTAATCTCTTGTTTTATAAAACTGTCAGAACCACAAGATGACTTAATGTGCTTATGTCAGGACATGTGACATTTCTCTGCAAAAGTGTTTTGCATTCAGAGGGACTTTTTTTACCAGACATGCATTAGATGCTGAGAGCGAGGAACTCCTCTGAGAAGGATTCACACTGTCCCACTCTCTCTGTTCCCTTTGCTTTAAGATGCTTTTTTTTTTCTAAACTTAAGTTCCACAGACTTGTTTCCCAGGCTTTATAAACAGGCCCTCTAATGCCTCTAAATGTGTTATTGCATGAAAGGAAATTAAAATATTGGTACAGCTCGATTTCAATGACCCTTTCAAACAGCTTCCTGCAGAGCTACAAACAATAGTTTGGCCATTCACTGCAACTGGTCACCCTCTCCCGGGAAGGGCCAGAGGGCAGAGCACCTGCTGACCCAACCCATGATTCAAACCCGCCTGGAAAGCTGCTTGTGTGAGCTGAGCCTAACTCATGGCTGTTGCCCACCCTACTCTCATGCCCAGTCCTGGCCTCTGCAGGCCGTGACTCAGCCATTACTCAGAAGCTGACCGAGTCCACGCTCAGAACCTGGGCTCCATGAGGGTTGACTCCAGCTCTGCTGTTTACTGGCTGGAGAACCTCCTGGACAAGTTACTGATCAGCCTCAGTCTTCTTAAACATGGGGGGTGGAGTGGGGTGTGTCATGCTTATACCTGCCTCACTGGGACTTTCCCTGAGAATTAAGTGAGATAATATATGAGATAAAAGAGGTTATGTACACAGTAGGCACCAGAGTGCTGGTCACTAATGCTGTCCCTGCTACCACTGAGCAGCCGCTTCCTCCTCATTATCTTGATACCTTTCATCAACAGTATGTGTATATCTTTCTCCTCCTTTTTCTTGAGAAGCCCAATTTGAGATTGATCTGTTGCTACTAGAGGACATTAAAAAAAGAGTTACCACCCTCCCACCTATTTGGCAATTTGTCTAGGACAAAATGCTTGCCAGTCTTCATGCCTGCTGTTGCTAGATATTTTTCCCAGAATTTCAGCTTTGAAGCCCAACTCTTAGTCTAGTTTTCCTACAGGTGGAACAGCTAATCTCTAAGACCTCTTTTGGTGCTATACCTGTGAAAAGTACATGC